ACGGCTGCTCCTTGCACTTGTGTGACACCGACCGTGTCCCCTTTCCCACAGAGGTGAAATCACCACACTCCCCCCCAGAGCAGCTGAGTGACACTTTGGTATTTATTCAAATTAGCTGTTATTAATTAAATAACACCTTTCAGCTTCCTTGGCAGCTCTTCCCCTGCGGTTGCAGCGGGATGCTGGCACGTGTCAGGATGCCAGACAGATGTGAGAACCTCAGGGTTATGTTTCTGTGAACACACACCTCATTAAAGATGTTATCACTAGAGGAAAATAATAAATTTACGGTCACGTCTCTGTACTATCTCCTCTTTTGTGCCTTCCACCTCCCCTATCACTAAAACCCACTCCCAGGTGTTATTAAACAAAGACAGCTCTTGTTCAGCAGAGCTTCGCTCGGGCTTAATTTTGCTTCCGAGAGTCCAAGGGATTTTGGCACGTGCCTGCATACTTTGTTGATTAGCAGCAAAGCTGAATCTTGGGCCTGAGGATTTGTCCACATGCAGATTTAGAGGTGCTAGTTGGGATGAGCTGGGGTAATAGTGACTTTGTTCCAAAATGAGCTGTTCAGGCAGTACCCACCGTGCCGGCTGTCGCAGCCCTTTGGGCAGACGGAGCTGCATCAGCCTCAGTTGAAGGAACTGCAAACCTGAACGAGCCCGAGCCACTGAACATCTTCTCTGCACCCCTGTCACACCTGGCTTGCCTCTAAGAGAAATGAATTCACACTGCCCTAACACTGAAGATTAAAAGCAGCTGCATGTCAGCACAGCCAGATTTATCCAGAGCCCATGACAAAAATGATGGGTTACTGGGGAATAACCTTGGCTGCTGGTGCTGTGTATTTTCAAGGCATATTAATCACTATTTGTGTGTGAATACTTCTCCTTTCACTGGAAATGGAGAGAGGGGTGAGGCTTAGGGAGTTCTGCAGTGGTTTGATTAAAAATGCTGGACAAAGCCTGCAGAACACATGGTACAAACTGCTCAAGACTTGAAAACATCCAGTTAGAGGCAATGTATTCCTCAAATCCAGCCCTTGGGGTAGAATCTGGCAACACAGTTGAGTGGGGCTAATTTTTCTGGTTGAAATGGTGCTTTCCTGGGTTGCAAATTGTAGTAATAATAATAATAATAATAATAATAATAATAATAATAATAATAGCAGAATCTTTCTTCTACAAAGTTGACTAGAAGATTGATTTGACCAGAGGGTCAAAGATAAAGTGGTGTGAAAAGAAGAAGGGTTAAATCTGGGGAACTGGCTTGCAATTAAAGACACATGGGGTGATCACTGCAGCCATTTCCTGCCTGTTATGACCACTGCCCACTGAGGACACTGCAACCCAAAATCCGAGGTATATAAAACCCCACATGAAGATAAAGCAAAGAGGCAGCTCTTCCCTCTCTACATTCCACTGTATCCATGGGAACAGGGTGGGATTTGACATCCACACAATCACTATAGACAGAAACCCTGCGGTGCAGGGAGGAAAGGTCAGTGGAGCACCCTGGCCATGGTGGGGCATGTGAGGTGGCACCCATGGAGCAGCCAGGGTGCTGGGGACACCCTGCTCCCTACCCAGGAATCACAGCTTTCCTGTGTCCAGGACAGCTGGGGTGCAGCCAGTCTGCAGAAAGAAAAATTAAAGAGCTGATGTGGTTCTTGGAGAGAGCTGGTGGAACAAGGGGTGCTGCAGTGGGGTGAAGGACACCCCACCAGGAGCCCCAAAACTGGATGAGAAAAATGCTGCTTTTTCTAGTTAGGTTTGACTGTAAATTTGGGGAAAAAATTAGGAAGGGAACAAATAAATCTCATAAGGAAGAAGAAGAAAATAAATATCTCTCAGCTACTTCTCATTAGTGGAGGAATATTTACTCAGGTGAATATTTTGCCTGTTCACACAGCATCCCCAGCACAGACACACCAGCTCTGCACAGCTAACAAGGTATCAGCAGGGAGAAATAAGACTATTTAATTTCTTAGCACACCTTGAATAGCCCATGGGGCCAGCTCACATTTGGGAAAATGAATACACAGCCTTGACAAATAGTATTAATAATGCAACACAAGGACTCGAGAGCAGAGCACCGTGAGCTGCAGACACCATGCCCGAGTCAGCTCCTTACCCTGCCACACTGGCATGTGGCTGAAACATTAATAAACCCTGGAGCCCTAATAAAATACCTTTGGGTCCTGTCTGCTTGAAGCTAAGAGCATGGGTCTTCAACCCCGTGTCCAGATGATGCAACACTAAGGCTCATCTGGGACTTCCCCAGGTATAAGGATTTGGTCTCCCCCTGCCTACCTGACCAACAGCTCCATGCCACCCTCCTGGGCAAGAGCAGGACCAGGTTGCCCCAAAACACCCGCCCAAACCTCATCTCACCTCAGCAGAAGCTTCACCAGCAGCCAGAACAGCTCAGCAGGGCTCTCAGTCTGCACCTCTGCTCAGAGGGGTTACTGCCACATGGGGTCTTGTGCCTCACCTGAACCTTTGCAGAGACTCCTTGTGCCCACTGCCAACACAGCTGCAAGGGGAGCAGCACTGGAGGACAGTTCATCGATATCTATATATAAATTTATATAAAAATCGTATTTTTTCTGCTGGGCAAGAAAGGGCTCCGGAGCCTCAAGCTGTTCCAGCAGCAGCTGAGGGAGAGCAAGACCCAGCACAGCCTTGTTACTCCTGGCTACTTAATTACTGCTTGTGATTGGTCTCTAATGAACCTCCTGCATCCATAGCTCATGATTCATTAAGGGTTTTCAGGACACTACTGAGGGGCAAATGGAGCTTGTTCCCACCAGGGCCCCATCACACCATGGGAGTGACACGGTGTGAGAGCGAGAGGAAGATACACAGACCACAAAATGCCTCTCTGGGCTTACAGAAAGGGGATTTGTTTTAAAAACCCCACAGAGGGGAAGTGTGACTCCTGGGAGTTCCCTGAGAAAATCTCAGAGCACCCATCTTCCCAACCAGCCTTCCCTGGGCCAGGGGTTGTCTCACCTCCCATGTGCCACTCCTGCAGTTCCCATTCACCCCTCCCCGTGCCATGAACTCCACACAGCACCCAGGCTGCAGGGTGGATGTGTGTGTGGGAGGCTGATGGCAGGGACAGAAAAAGCTTCAGCCCTGAGCAGCATCTGGAGCAGGGAACTGCTCCTGGCTCAGGCTTTAACCCTTAATCCCAGTAACTCATTCTAATGCTCCAGTACAAGGAGACACAGCCACATGCACAAAGAGTCTGACACTAGTTAGTCATTCATGCAAAACAACTTTTTTTTGCCTCTAAGTGCAAAGCATTCTCTGTGCAGTGTCAGACAAGCAGTCACCTTCCCACGGGTATGGGAGCAGCTTGGTTCATCCCACCGGGTGAATTTAAGGACTTCAGTCTTAAGGGTAAAACTTCTAATTTAATTGGTTGCTTATCCTCAAACTCTACTTTTTATTTATTGCAATCAAAGCACCAGACACAGAGGGAACACAGCGAGAGGCCATCGCTGACATGGGTGGGAGAGAGACTGAAGGAGGGGACTGAGCAGTGTCCCTCAGGGAGAAAGGATGTGGGGTAACAGAGATTAATGTGGGGTGAGACCATGCCAGGTGACTGGAAGAGGTAATTAAATGCTGAGTAGGTGTCCTAAGGGGGTGCTACATGTATTTACTGGTGTCACTGGGCTCACAGCTCGCCCCGCTGCCTCGCCCACACCACTGCACCAGAGGCTCTGGAGAAGTTTCTCCACAGTCCATGAAAGTGTGGTAACATTAAAAAAGGCTCAGAGCCGTAGTGAGAGCTGCTGCCAAACGTTTGGAGGGATAGAACAGCACCTGGAGGCACAACCATTGCTGCCCGTGCTTTACTAAACACCACCTTATCCTACCAAAACCCAGCATTTACTGGACCAACAGCAAACACTTTGACAGATTGCTTTTGGCAGTCCTGTCCTTTTTGTGCTCACTGGGTGAATGTGTGAACTCCCAGGCTCACAAATGCAGCCACATGATGACAATCTCTCCAATGAATGAAAATAATTACTTTTCTAATTCGCCCCTAGACTCTGCTAAACCTTCTGGGGCCTCGGGGAAGGCATGAAGTTTTTTTTTTTTTAATTTCTTCTGCTTATGTAGGCAATCATTTTCATTTATAAAATGAATAATTCTCTATTTAATCAGTACCAAAGAAAATTCCACTCGGGGACAGGCACATCTCCTGATGCTGCATAGGATTAACCCACAAAATGACTCCATAGTGTGGGGGAAAATGGGACAGCCCTTGTGCCTCTGAGCATCAGCGACTTTGGGGATCCTGAAGATCTCCCTTCCAAGAAGGACTGAGAATATAAGATCCATCAAGGGTGAGATGCAAAGGCAACTGCCTTTGAGCCACCAGAAAACACTGGTGTCAAGCCCAGCAAACTAGATCAGGCTCTAGGAAATGCAAAATCATTGCTTCTGAACTCCAGTGCTTTCTTGGAGCCAAATTCACACAGAACATGGAGATCCTGATGGAAAACTGGTGGTTTATCTGGCTGAGGACCAGCAAGCTTTGCTGCTGGATGATGGGGCTGGATTGTACTTTAATGCTTGAACCAGCAGCAAAACCTGTCATGTAGCACTTCCAAACTGGTGTTTCAGTGAGAACACAGATGCTTGAGGGTAATAGAAAAACTGAGGGTAAATAGAACTGTGTCTACAAAATGATACCCTGGTTTTAAAACTTAGCAAATTAGGAGTCAGAGACATTATATATACACTAGATATATGTTACTTATCTGAAGGAACTGGAGAGAAATAATCTTGTTCAAGAGCTGTCTGGAAATACAGCTGCAATGAAGTCCTGTGGAATGGGCATTGGAATCCATACAAATAGTGGTGCTGCAGCAGGACTTGGCCCCTACTTTGGAGGAGTTTATAAATAATAACTATTAAACAGCAAATAATAAATATTAACATTAAATAATAACAACAAAGTGCAACATTCACTCCCCAGTGTGCTACAAATGAGATTAAAAGTGTGTATATTCTATTTCTTTTAATTACAGTACGACAAAAAACAAGCTCGAATATACCAAGAGTCCTCGGACGGTTTCGTTTTGCAGAAATGAAATTTTCCCCAGAGGTTGAAAATAACAAGAACAGAAATAAAGTTTGGACAAAGCTCTTTCTCTTGCACGGAGACAGGATGGGACTCACACAGGAGAGCACGAGGGAACACAGCCTGCTCCTTCCCTGCCCTGCTTTCCATCAGGGTGATGCTCTCCCCTGGCAGGTGGCTGAGGCCAAAATGCCAAAGCATGAGACGAAGTTTCAAAACTTAAAAATCTCAAAATAAGTTTCATACACACACACACAAAAAGCAGCTAAAATACCATTTTCTTGCCAAAATGAAATATAAGCCAACTACTTTGCTGCAGTGGACTTGTGCCATAAGTTTCAGCTGCATCACTTTACACTGGTTTGGGATCTTGCCTTTCACTGCAACAACTTCTGGCCATAATTCCCCCTAAATCCTACATCTAATGTTTCCTGTGGGAAGGGTTTAGGTTGTTTTCCACTCGATGCTGCACTGAAATTCTCCCATTTGCTCTTCAGATCTCCTGCCTATGGGATGGCAGAGGAAATTTGGGTGCTAGAGCCACCTCACCAGGGTGCCTCCAGTCTAATAGGGGATATTTAAGCAACAGTTTACAAGTGGCCATAGAGGAACAACCTGCTTGTGTCCAAGCTTGCTGAGGTATTGTCCAGAAGGATGGCTATTTCCCATTACAGCCTGGTTGGAAGTGATATCCAGCACTGAGAGATATCAATCAGTAAATATTCAATCAAGACAAAATTTCTATTTTTCGAATGCTGGTTATTTCTTGGAAAGTTACACCAATCTTTTATGCCTGCTGGCACTTAGGCCAGTAAATATATAATTAAATGATACAGTCAAATGCACAAACTTTTGCAGCCTACTTACCTACACCAAAAAAATACACCTTTTTTTTTTTTTCTTAGTTCTACTCTATTTTCTTTTTCCTGCTCTGGAGTCCAGCCCTGGATTTATCCCCCCAGGCAGAACTGCTGTTTGCTCAGCGGGACGAGCCGAGAGAAGAGGACTTTGGAGGGATCTTTAGTTACGTGGGGAGGAATAAAACAACCCCCCAAAAAAAAACCAAAGAAAGGAAAACATCCCAATTCTCTAGGTTACACTATTGGTTATATAACCGATCTCCCTGGTTATATTTACGCTCCTATAAATAGAGAAGTGGCCTCAAAGAGTGGCCTAAAAAAACGACAGACAGGAGTCGGGACGCGGCGACCATCGGGGACGTCGGGGCTCAGCACGGGGACGAGGACATCTGGTCGTAGTCGGGGCACTTGAGCAGGGCTGGGTAGTTACTGTTCATCTGCAGGGAGGCCTCGCTGGAGATGTCCGAGGGGCTCCGGCCCCGCGCCCACGCATCCGGGTGCAGGAACTGCCCCGAGTAGTCGGAGCAGTTGCTCAGGCGGGGCCGGTAGAAGCCGGGGTGGGGTCGGTAGATGTCCTCGGCCGTGTAGCGCTTCATGAACAGGTACACGGACATCACCCCGGCGCTCTGCGGGACAGAGACACGGCCTGACGCCCACCCTGCTCGTGGCTGCCTCCTCCACCATCCCCCAAATATAAATCGCCTTTTTTTCGCTCTGCTGCTGATGCACAAAGGCACCTGAGGGCTGTCACTTCACTGCCCTCTGCCTGGGATCCATGCACTAAATAATGCAGCACAACCACGTCTCCTGCTCTGCATTTCCTGCCTGGCATCAAATCGTCACCAAGTGCCCCATCAGCGCGCCAGGCTTGGGTCTGTCCCCACCCTGTCTCCCTTCACAGTATATTTTACCCCTCTGCCCTCACAGCCCCGCCTTAAACCCCACCCAGGTCCTCTTTTTTCCAACAGCCTCAGTGTGCCCACCCCTGAGAACGGGACACACTCGTTACAGGGATGTGAGAGCTGTGGGTACCTCTGTGAGAAGGAATGAGATGGCAGAGAAGGCAAAGGACCACCCGTATTTGTAGTTGAAGAACGTCTCCGAGTCCTTGGTCCTGTTGAGCATCTCGTCATTAATGCTGGAGATGTAGAGGACCAGCCCCACCACCAGCGACAGACCTGCAGAAGGACAGTGGGAAAGAGGGATGAAGTGCTGAAGAAACACCTTCCCTAAGACCTGACTTGTGGGGGAAAGTAAAAAACTGTGCTTGGAATAACTGGGGAAAGGAGCTGCCCTCCCTCCTGCTGCGCTAACCCAGGGCACTCCTCTCATTTCAGTCAAAGCATTACCTGCTCTGGCAAGTCTGTGTGCACTGGGGAGGAGGCAGCTGGCTCTGGTAGGAGCTGACTTCAAAGCTCAGCTGTCACAGCTATTTGTTTAACACTCACACAGCACCATGAATAAAACATTCCCTTTTCTCATGTAGAAACATCCCAACTGAGCAGTTTGAAGTTTCTGATCTCTCCTGTGACTGATGTGCCACGAGAAGCATCCTCTCCCCCAGCACCTGCTCCTGCACGTGGTGGAGACTTTCCCCCACACTTCCACAAATGAGTTTTGCAGTGGATGGTTTTTCATCCCACAAAAGCAGATCAGGCTGCAGGGCTGAGCTGCAGGGGAGCCCCTGTGGGTGATGACTCCATCAAGGAGCCACCACAGCGGGTCAGGAGAGCACCAGCAGCTACCAAAGCAAATGTGCTCCGTCCTCAAGAGTTGTCAGGAGAAAACCTGGTAGCAAAACTCACCCGACAGGATGAAGAAAATCCCCGAGACAAAGGCGAGGATGGTCCTGTGGGGCCGAATGTGGCCGATGTTGCTCAGGATGAAGCCAATGAACATGAAGAACAGGCTGACCAGAGGGAAGGGGGTGGCAGAGCGGATCATCTCTGTCAGGAGAGGAGCAGAGGGAAGGGAGAACAGGTTAATCCTCCCCATATAGTATGAGAAATGGGCTGGGTGAGATGGCTCCAGCCCTGCTGCTCTGACCATACTGTGTCTGGGGTTTCCCTCTTTGCTAATGCACTGAGTAAAAACACAGAATTACGGAATCATAGAACAATTTGGGTTGGAAGGGATCTTACGTTTCCTGCCAAGGTCAGGACACCTTCCACTATCCCAGGTTGCTCCAAGCCCCATCCAGCCTGGCCTTGAACACTCCCAGGGATGGGGCAGCCACAGCTTCTCTGGGCAACCTGTGCCAGGTCCTCACCACTATGGTGGTGATTCTGCCAATATCTGCATTTCTGAGGGTTTCTTTGTGAAGTGTTGCATGGGAAAAAACCATCAGAACCTGCATTTTTCTCTAGCTTCACCCCATAAGTGTTTGCAGAACAATCCTATTTATTAAATCCAAAATGACTGCAGAATTCATCGTGAGAGCTGTGACACTCCATCCTTAATTCATCCCACTATATAATGTGTAAAATTGACTGCTAGGGAATAAATACAGCTGCAAATTATGGAGAGGAGACTAAAAAGCCAAACACTTCGATAAACATTAGTGCTGAATAGCCAGTGACAGGAAATTATACAGCTTAGAGCCTCTGTGAGAACCCTGCCATTAGAAAGGGATGTCCCCAGAAGCTTAGGAGCACACTGGGTGATTCACATAGTCACAAAATGTAGTTGCATCTACAATTCGGAGTTTCTTTGGCAAAGACACAGAGGGGATTTCTTGGGGGAGTCACAAGTGACCCCTTGGAGCTTTGCAGGGTGAGACCCCCCAGAACCACTTACTCAGGACGTTGACTGTGGACTCAGACGTCAGCTGGATGTTCATGGGCATGACGTATTCGATGGTGAAGCACCGGCCACGCTCCTCACCTGCAGCAGACACAGGCCAAGTCACTCCTGCATTGTGCTTGTCTGTCTGGTTTTTTTGGGGGGGGAGAGCAGCTTTAAATTGAATTTCCGTGCATGCATAAAAACAAATTTGCTTTTTAGTGCTGCTCCATCTTGAGTGTCTGTGGTTGGGGTGGAAAAAAGACACCTCTTAAATACCATTTCCTTGTGTGCACAAACGTGAACCCCAAAGCCAAAGGCTTTAAAGTCACTCCAGGGGTGGTATCACAGCTCCTCAGGCCTCCCCTGACTTTTTCCAAGCAGCAGTTGAAACTTTGTGACATTTCAGGCTGGTCACTTTGAGATTCCCATTCCCTCAGGTTTTATTCAACTCTGCTCCCGCAGCCAAGCTGCTCCATCACACTTGGCAGGGACAGAGGGAATGGTCCAGCTGACCTGAATCTAAATTCTGCAGGGACCAAATGGAAAGTTTTGAGCTGCTGCCCAAGGCCACAGCACTGGGACGGGGGGGGGGGGGGCTGGCATGGCAGCATCAAACCCACCCAAAACCTGTGTTGAAAGGCACATTTATCCATCAGACTGTTAAAAGTTGGGCATGGGCCTGAGTTTGGACGCAAAGATGGACAGAGCTTCTAAAAATCCCATGTTTCCTGGCCGTTTCCCATGGGATGACACAGACAACAAACACTATAACTACATTAATATTTATCGATTTATATATGTATAAATAGACATAACATATATAGTTATATATCTGTTTATATGTTATAAGACATATAAACATATAAATATAAAACATATAAATATAAAACATACAAATATAAAACATATAAATATAAAACATATAAAACATATAAATATAAAACATATAAATAGCAGGGCATGTTTTTTTGGGGGGTGAGAACGTACCTGCCAGAAAGCAGACCCTCCAGAGCCCCGAGTGCAGCGACAGCTTGATCTCGGCCGTCTGGTTCTGGGGCTGGACGATGCCCTCCTCCAGGTAGAGCCAGTAGTCCGTGCTGACAGAGATGCCCAGGAGGCCGAGGCCGCAGACGGCGAACACGCTGCTGAGCAGGGTCAGCGCCCTCCTGCTGCAGGCGCTCATGCCCAACAGCATCGGGGGCTGGGGCGGGGAGAGCGGGCGGGTCCGGCAGCACGAGCCGGGGATGAAGGTGTCAAAGCTTTGCCCTGGATTGCCCTGGGGAGGATGAGCTGAAACGAGCCATTAAAACAATCACGGACAGATGGCAGAGTTTGAACCAGATGCCACCCGACCGCTGCCCCGCGCCGGCCCAGGGCTCGGGGGGTGCTGAGCGCCAGGGTGGGAGAGGCTCGGGATGGGCTGGGTGGGAGCAGCTCCTTGGCTCCTGTTTGATTTGCTGCAGGTGAATTCCTGCTTCTCCAGCCCAACCTGGCACTCATCTCCCCAAGGATGTGGCTCAACCCCAGTATCTCATCTACCCGCAGAGCCTTATCAAGTGCTCCCACGAGGGGAGGCAGCACGAGCTGTATCTCCTGGGCATAGGAGCCTGCTGAGGGTCATGGACACGGAGATAATGGATCAACAAAGGTGCTTACAGCTGCTGGACCAACCTCCCCTCCTGAGCAGCTCCCACCACCATCACACTCCCCCCAGTAATGCCACTTTTCCTCTTCCAGGGCACATTTATCCATCAGGGAATCAGGATGCTGATTTTGCAACGACTATGCTACGCTGAATGACATCATCAAACACCTTGAAGCAGAGTGCCATGACACAATAACTTGTCTTTCTTTGCTGTTTATTGTTCTTGCTGGATCAGAGCTGGGAGAGGCAGGGAAAGGAAGCAGAAAGCTGCAGCCAGGCCCTGGGTGAACATTAAAGGAAAAACTTTCCTCATCCCCATGTTGCTTATGTATTGAATCTTTTTTTTTCCTTTTTTTTTTTAATTTTATTGCATTCTTGCCAAGTCAGGGAATTTATTAGTTCTCATGGTGCCCTGCAGACTGATAAAATATCACCAGAAATCAGAGTTCTTCGTGCAGTGGAGGAAAAAGTGCAATTAATATGGGGGGCAAAAGCCACAACAATGAAAGATTAAAGGAATAAGAGCGAGAAGGAAAAAGATACACGCCAGAGATGGTCTTCTGGGGAGTGGGAAGGAGGCAGATAGTGCTATTGACTGCTTTTAGAAAGGCAGGATGAATCACACGTAAGTGCCGTGTCATGTATATTTTCCAAGGCACATTTTGCTGTTGTTCAGCACAGCAAACAATAAGGAAAGAAACATATAAACCCAGCTAGACAACAAAAGCTACCGGATTTAGCAGCAGGAAGCATATTCCTTGGACTGCCTTTAAAACTGCACCAGCCTTGCTTTGGCTCCATCAAGCCCGTGTTTGCCATCACGGTGCACGGCAGTGAATGGGCTCTTTGGAGAGAAATCCTGCTCCTGTTATCGCTGTGGTGAAGGTGGTGGGTTTAGGGATTAAATCAGGAGACAAAAATCCTGCCTGGACTGGGAGATGACAACTCGCTGTTCCGACACGGCCGGGTGAGCAGGCTGGAGGAGGGTGGTTTTTCCTACTGCCTCTGATGTAAACATATTAATACTTGCTTATAGTGACTCTCAGAGGTGCCAAAAGTCCTCACAGCTTGTACTTTTACACCCAAAGCCTTCCAAGGTAATGTTCTGCCACAGCTCCCCCATGGTTAATACAAGCAGACGATGCTGAGAGTGGTTTCTTGCTGCTTGGGTGCTCTCAGGGAACATCCAATATTCAATATCTTATCCTCTTGCAGTGCCCTTCCCCAGCACATCTGTCTCACAAAACCAGAGCACCGAGACCCACAACACCCTGTCCTGGGCAGGGCTTGCAGCAAATCTCATAGAAGATCAACATGAAGGAAACTTTTAGTTACTGTGGAGCCCAAAGAATGGCATTTACTGAGCAGATGCAATATCCAAGGCCTGTCTGCCCCTCCAGCTCACTGGGCAGCAATAAGAGAGAAAAGCTGCTGGAAGAATATAAAATCCTTGAGTGAAACAGAGAAAGGGAGAGAAAGACTTTAATTATTGCATCTGACCTCAAATCCAAAGCAGACAAGTACATCTTGGTAGGAAGCAGATGTACTTGCACCCTCAAGCGCTGCAACAGCCCTGACAATTCTCTTCCATATGAAATTATGGATTTGGCTCTTCCTACGTTCACACTGTGCCTCTCCCCAGAAGGTTCCAACCTACAGGAAGGGGATTGCTGTCTCCAGACAGCCCAGTTCACACTCCTGCAAGCTTTCCTTCCACCTTTGGCTTTGCTAACCAGCCTCATTTTTAATGTTCCTCTTTAATGTTTCCCTCAGCTCAAAAAAAGCAGGATGTGTTCCCAGGAGGAACATCTCCCTGCTAAGGGAGTGAGGAGCAAAGTACAGAGGAGATGATCAGACTTTCTTTTCTCTGAAGAATTAGGAGGCAGCAGCTAAAGAGGAAAGTGGTGGCTGTCAGGCAGAGCAGCACATCAGCTCTGCCATTTCCCAGGGAATATGCCATTTCCCATCTCTATAGATTCCCATTTGGTCCTGCAATCAACTATCCAAAACTCAGATCCTCTGGCTCATCCATTCATCTCCCTAACTCAGCCAGAGCCATATTTTCTAGTTGCTGCCTCAAAATGAACAGCATTTACTACAGGGTGTCTCATCCCTCTTGGCATTTTGGTGCCAAAATGGTAAAAGGAACTGGAATCTATTCTTGGCTCGTGTATCATCAACAACCATCCTCCCTGCACATTTCTCGTTAATAACGAGCCAAAAATCATAGTAGGGAGTATGTGAAGGTCCAGATAAAGCCACTCAGAGGGAAATAACTGAGTATTTCCTGCGATTTGTTGTCCATCAACATCAGACACTGGAAAATAGACCTGTTTGGTATCATTTACTGGTCTTTGGGGTGATGTGAGCAGCAGGGAGAGGGGTCGGGCGTCAGTCGCGCCTCTCAATTGCCTCATTCCCTTTCTCCCTCACACTCCAATTTCCATGTAATCAGGGAAGCATTAGAGACTGATCTCTGTTCCTGCCCTGCTGGCACAGAGGATGGAACCCAATGTGATGGGGGACAGGGGGCAGGGATGGTGCAGAGCATCTGCTCAAAACAAGCCTCCCCCCGTGTCCAGCACCTGGAGAATTAGCAGGGCTCCCAGGGGAAAGATTTTTCAAGGACACGAACAAGAACTGGCTTGATTTTCAGCAAGGATTTAGTTCCCAGTGACCTTTATCAATTGTGTTATGCTTCCTATGGCTGAAAAGGTGATGCTGTTTGATTTCCAGCAGTAGCTGTATTTTAAATTACATGAATAGAGCCCCAAAGATTTCCAAGAAATGGGACTTTAGGACTGTTCCTGCTCCTTCGATCACGCTGTGCCCTCTGGTAGTAGTCCAGGGAACAATAAAGGCAGTCTGCAGTGTAATCTGCAGTCCTTGTAATGAATTTCTTCTTGTCTTGGAGCCACAGCTTCTGATGGAAACTACACATGGCCCTTGCTGGGACTGAACCCTTTGGGAAATGAAATGAATATTGGCATTGTTCCTGACACAGTTCACCCAGATCTAGGACTTAGTCCTTACCTATTTCTCCACAGTGACAGAAAGAAAATATCCTGGGCAGGTTTCTGAGCCCACAGCTCCGTGACCTGACACTGAGCACTGCTCTGGGCTATGTGGATGGGCTGAGAAAAATAAATATATCACTGGTCAACTGCCTGGACAAGATGGGACGTATCAATAAATCACTGCTCCGAGTTCAGTGGAAAACCGCAGCTCTCTCCTGCTCTGGGTAAAGGCAGAAAGAGCAGGGCCAAGCCAGGCCAAGGAGGCAGCTATTGATTTTTATGTGGTTAGAGCATCATTTCCAATTTCCTGACATTTGTGACGAGGGGAGGCACTGCCAAGGTTATTGGAGCAGGCGGGAGGGAAGGTTTTGTTTGTGGAGGGTGCTGGGATCCAGGACAAGCCTGGCAACCTGCCTCTGTGCCTGGTCCATGCTGCAAACCCAGGGCTGAGGGAAATCAGAGGTTAAGCCATGGACCTGGAGTAGTGGGAGAGGCTGAGCAGAACATAAAGGAGAAGGAAGGAAGCTTGTGAAAGTGGAGTAGGAAACCCACTGAGTGAGCAGTGGATGTACAAAGAACACCAGGGACCTGGGTAAGAGCCATCAAACGCAGGAGAGCGTGAGCTGGGATGGGGCTGAACTGAAAGGACCAGCTCCCACTAAGCTGCAACAAGAAAATTGGGCTGGCTAAAAATAAAGGGCCTTCAAGCAGTGTGATCCCTTCCTCAGGACACGACACAGGCCATGGATGCGGGCAAAAAAAAAAAATAGGTCAAGGAGAGTGGCTCTTTCAGAACAAAACTTTGTTCAGAGTTGGCAGTGCTCAGGCAGGACCGTGCTGAGGCCACCACTGCATTGTCATCCTCCTTCAGACAGCACAGCTTCCTCAACTTCACCCTGGCCACCTCATGGGCAAATTCAGAAAAGCCTGATTTGGTCATTAGGTGGAATAGAATGATCCCACTGACCTCAGGGAGCACCTAAAGGGTGCAAATGTTTCGGTCCCAAAACAGTGTGTGCAGCCCGAGGCCAGGTGAGCTGATGCTCTGTTGGTTGGCAGAGTGTTGGACCTGTGTGAGGAGCACATGGTGAGTTGGCTTTAGCCACAGCTGAGGAGAGGAAGAGGAGGAGATGGTGAGGGCAGTGCCCACTGCTCCATCTGGGGATGCAGGAGAAACAGCTTTACAAACCAGACCTGCAAAAATTGCATGACTGGGAAAGATAGTTTTGGTTTTGGAATTATAGCTTGGGAAGTGACAGTCCCTCCTGAAGCTTGGAAGAGGTGTACTGCAGGCAGGAGGGAAGCACAGGACTGCTCTGGTTCCACATAACAGCTGAAGGAGAGCAGGGATGGCTGCAGGGAAAAGCAGTGTCTCCTGCACTGATACACTGAGAGGCAAATGGCCAAAGGGGATGTGGTTGGAGCTGGTCCATAGGGTTCCCAGGAGCCCTGTCCTGAGCTGCTGGCACCCAGCACCTCCACTGGCACAGGGGAAAACAGAAACACACGGGACAGCTTTACAGACCTGCATTAGTGTCCTATAAAAACGTCAGCTCCATTTCTGAGAGAGAAATTATGTATCGGAAAAA